ACGAATCGTGAAGCTGCTGCGCGCCTTTCGCTTCCGGTTCACCGATCTCTCCACATTCGTTAGGCCGCGTTCACTGTTCTCGACGTTTATGCGACCACTTTCGCTCGGCCCCCGGCGTGTGTTTCGACGCGCAACGCCGTGTCGAATTCAGCCGCGCGATTAATAACGGCCGGCCATCACGAGCCTGCAATCAACGTGCTCCAAATGTTCGTTTTACTTCTGATCCAGTAACTCGCAAGGAGATTGGCATGCCAGTTTGGCAGAAAAATAGAACGCAACACGCGTGTCAACTAATCCAGACTCGTTCCTCTGCGTTTTGAGGTTAAAAATTTCGCAATTTCACGTTTTATTTCTTTGTTATCGTGTCATTTCGTCAGAAGTCTCTGGAATAGAAAGAATTTTCTATGAGAAAAATAATTCACGAAACGACATCTCCGAAGTTTCGAGGTAATTTCAAAAAATTCCATAAAGTACGATACAGTCCCGAGTGTTCGTTGTATTTTATTACTGGCCGTTAGATTTCGTGACGTCATCTGTGGCGGCCATGTTGCCAAAACTCGTGTCGAATCACTGTATCAGTGTATGTAAACTGAAAACGTCTCGAATGTCGGTGATGTTTTTTAAAGCTGATGCAGCAATTCCCTGTAACGAAGCCTGGGCAATTTAAAATCATTTGGACAATCGGTTTATGCAGGAACTCGCGTTAGCCGGCTAACAATAAACAACTCGTGTACGGATCTCGCAACCGGACGAATGCATCGTGTCCGGTGTACGTCCTTGCGCATACACGAACCACCATTTCGCGAAAATATCCGCATCCGAGTGAGGAATCGTTCGTGTTTTCGATTAACTTTGCAATTTGCAACGTGCACTGACTACACCGGCGACACTCGTGACGTGTCAACGTTCTTCTTTCAACGGACAACCTCAACGGACGCCATTAAAACGTAAAGTAAAGAAGATAAAAAAAAGAATCTGAAGAGTTTACTTACGGCGAACGTTCCCGGCGAATGTTACAACGCCACGATGTCGTCTTCGAGGCTTCGCACTCCGCTTCTAAACTCACATCTCGTCGTGACAGCCGCACATCACGTTAAAAAAAAATGATCGCGCGACGACGACGCGAACGGTCACTGGCCAATTTGAAATTTCCAAACCAACATGGCCGCCCGACCGTTCGAGGGTGTGCATAGAGCGCGCCACGGATGATCGATAATTCGATCCGTATCGATAATTCAGTTCTCGATATATAGATAGAAACAGCCCCCATTGTAAATGTTTGCAACTTGTTTCTATTATGAAAATAAAATATGCCGAACATATTACGTATGAAATGTACGTATAGAAAATATATGTATGTATAATAAATATATGTAAATATAATATATATGTATATTCATAAAATATGTATTTAATGATGTTCACAAAACCATTGTAAATTTTATCTGATATGTTCAATATTATATATTATATATAATTATATTATACATTTTTTATCTAATATATTTAATATTCAATATATATATATATATTGTGTGTATATTCAATAGTTTAATAATATTTATCAAAATGTATATTCATAAAATATACATCCAATGTATATGTATATATACATATACATATATATATATATATATGTTTTATATATGTATGGAAAAATGTACACAAGAATAAAATACGCAATAAGTATATTGATTCGATGTCTGTACAAACTCACCGGCTCAACAAATACGTACGCATTTAAAATTTTAGCCTCAACCTCTACAATATAACCTCTGAATTGCACTTGAGGCGAAATAAGACTCTATGTAGTTCGTCATCAGTTAGTTGCAAACAAAATCACATTTATTACATAGAAATCTGTGAAACAACGAGAAAATATAAGCGTAGAGGCTCGTGGAGCTTTTTACAAGTTTTTATACAAGCACGTTCCCTCAAATTATGGAAATTAATTCACTAAGAAAATATAGCCTCAATTATTTCACTTTTTTTTTTCTTTTTTTCTAATTATCACGTGTACCGATGGCAGGTGCCCGATGACGCCACGAAATTCCATGAAACCGAGCCAGATGCCAGTAGAGTCTGAGTTTGTGCGTGCTGCTCTCTACAGGAGATCCGGCAAACATTGTCAGAAAAGCCACCTTATCACTATTTATTACATTCGTTGTAAGTGTTGCGCATTAGATTTAACAGATAATTCTAATGTCAACCGATGTATCGCAATCAAGAGTACCAAAGCCATTTTTTATAATTTCAACTAAACCATCAAAAAAAAAATATATATATATATATATATATATGATTGCAATGAATTATCAATCTTCTAAGGAACATGCTACCTTCTAAGGAAGAAAAAAAATATCCGATTATAACATCAGACGTTTTGTTATGATATAACATCTGTTGAATAAAAATACAAAAATAATTGCAGCTCTACCCACGAAACTATCATTTCTTAATTTAATCAAATTCACGGAATTACAATTGCATGGAAGGATATACGGCGTAATTGAGAATTTTACAAATAGGATACAGATTTTATACATTTTGAAATTTTTAGGAACCGTCATTAAAGGAATATATAGAATCTAAAAAAGTTTATTTTATCCATTACGTGTTATAATTTATAATATATTTGTTTTATCTATTACATGTTATATTACAAATATACTCTATATTATACTGTGTAACAGATGAAACAAATTTTTTTTAGATTACATTCCTCTAGTAATATTTATCATATTATATTACATTTATATTATATTTGTTTAATCTATTACACGTTATAGTACATATATACATTTTTTTTTTTTTTTTAATTCCATATATTCCTTTAGTAATGTTCATCATATTATAATGACATTTGTTAAAAAATATGATATATATATATTAAAAATATATATATATATATATATATATATATATATATATATATATATATATATATATATATATATATAGAATTGTATATCTTATACAGCTATTTTCGTACATTATGTGCATTACGCGTACACGTTTTCAACTCTCAGTCTTTCACAAATGCATAAAATCCGCATTCTAATAATGAAAGATCTATGAAAACGTGATCGATTAGTTTACAGGACGTTTGACTTAATAGCACCTACTTATCTCCGCGTAAATAATGCACTTTTGACAAGTATCTCAACATTCTTCAATAACTCCCTCTAAGACGTTTTTTTCTTCCTCTGAAAAGTATGTTTCCTGTCAAACAATTAATTAATTCACGGGATTGCACACGTTATATAACGTGTACCATACCCATACTCTCCGCGATATTAGTAATTTTTATTCCCCTCCTCCCTCATTCCGCTTCGCTTAAGCAACACTCGCACGGGAATTTTCTCCTCGAAGTTATCCTTACCACCTGGATAAGGGTATAATTACGCGGGCGTTACGGTAATTAATTCGTTCGAATGGAATCTCGGAACAATTTCGTGACATTTGTCACTCACTGCCAACCACTCATTACGATCGATCGTTAATTCATTATCGCTTATCTACTGTCGCAACAGCTTGAAGAAATAATTATTCCAACGATATTTTTTCTGACTGATCGGTGAGTGGTTCGGTTTTGACCAAGGTGCTCGAAGGAAAATGGTCAGACCAACACCCGCATTGTATAATTACCCTGGCAAACTGACTGCGGACCATAACGAGTGACCAAAATCGTGTACAATATAATTTGTCGCTTCGTTCTGAACTCGTCGGTATGATTAAGAAGTAACAAATTTATTATTACTATATTATTTATTGTCGCTATATTTTAATAAGTTTATTATTACTATATTATTTATTTTTGCTATATTTTAATAAGTTTATTATTACTATATTATTTATTTTTGCTATATTTTAATTTTGCTAAATTTATTATTACTGTATTATTTATTTTGGTTATATTTTAATAAATTTATTATTAATATATTATTTATTTTTGCTATATTTTATTTTTGCTAAATTTATTATTACTGTATTATTTATTTTGGTTATATTTTAATAAATTTATTATTACTATATTATTTATTTTTGCTATATTTTAATAAATTTATTATTACTATATTATTTATTTTTGCTATATTTTATTTTTGCTAAATTTATTATTACTGTATTATTTATTTTGGTTATATTTTAATAAATTTATTATTACTATATTATTTATTTTTGCTATATTTTAATAAATTTATTATTACTATATTATTTATTTTTGCTATATTTTATTTTTGCTAAATTTATTATTACTGTATTATTTATTTTGGTTATATTTTAATAAATTTATTATTACTGTATTATTTATTTTTACAATAGCTTAATAAATTTATTATTACTGTATTATTTATTTTTACAATATTTTAATAAATTTATTATTACCATATTACTACATTATTTATATTTATATATGAATATTTATAAATTATTACTAAGCAATAATTTATTACTACTTTCGCCTGGGTTATACTTAAATATACTTAAAACTGAGAAAATGTTGCAATTTTCGGACAAAAGAATTCTCGACGCGCGTAGCAAGAGGTTAAATATGCTATCGAATAATTGTAAAAAAAAAGAGAAGTTGCCATTTTAATAACAGTAAAAAAAAGGAGAAGCTGCCATTTTGTTTCGACGCGAATGAATTTTCCGCGTGGAAAAATTGCTGACGCGGATTGCTGTCACCCAAAGAAAAAAAAGAAAAAGGTGCCATTTTTGAAATGTCAGTAGAACGTAGACTGTTTAGGAGCCCAGTATCTTGGATTTGGTTCTCTGCCACGTCCCGGCGATAATTCGAACGGCAATTTTTCGACGGCAGTCCTCTAATTGCACTCTCAATTTGCAAGTCAAACACAGCCAGGAAGAGCGCTGCGTTTACGAAGGCACGAGAAAACAGCGTCGGTGACGTCACCGTTTAAAGGTCTGCCGCGGCTCTTCTCGCGCTGTTTTATTTCTGCTTAGGTAGATCAGCGGAGAAGAGAAGCGAAGAAGAAAGAGAAAGAGAGAGAGAGAGAGAGAGAGCGGCAGCAGAGGGATACGAGAAGAAATTGATCCGGAATCGCTTCGTTTTCTCTCCTCGCTGGATCGTCGCCAGTTACAAAAGCACGATCGGGGGGAATCGAATCGGAAAACGCGAGACGAGGCGGAGAAGCCGATCGTCTCTTGGAAACGGGCGTTGTTTGCGAAATTCGTCGTGTTTCGACTCGACGTTGTCACTGCAAAATGTCAGCCCAGCGACTATATCCTTCGTCGTGAATTACATTCTTTTTTATATGAATTTTCGAAGAAAAATCGGCAAGTGTCCCTTCAATCGAAGCTAAAATTATCGAGTGAGATTATTTTAATCGACTGGAGGAGGAGGGTAAACGACGAAAATCTTCCAGTAAAGACACATTCTCTGTACCGAATGTTGGAATCAGTTATTCATTTACGTGTGTGCGAGATCGTGGGAAAATCGAGGCCTGAAGTCAAGCCGGATTCTACAGTTTCGACAGAGTGGTTTCGGCGATGACTATGAAAAAGAAATCGCCGAAAATCGAGGCCCAAGTGGTAGAGGCTATTCGGAGGCTGCAGGCGGTGCAAGGATCGACACCTCAGGAGATCAGCAACTACATTGCACAGGAGTATAACATCCCCAACTCCGAGATCAGGCCGCACGTTCAACTCGCTCTCAAGCGCGGCGTGACTTATGGCATTCTTCAGCGTATGAAGGGGTAAACGTGCGAAATGAGAAAAACTTTTTATCGCGAACAACAGCAGAACTGCTTCGACGTGGAACAACCATGGAATGAAGGAATGAAAAATGAAAAAAAAAAAAGAGAATTTGACATTGAATGGAATTGAATTGAAATCTTCGAGATTTTGTGGATCTTAAGGATTTTGAGGATCTTGTGTGTTTTAAAACGTTTATTTTTTTTTTCTTTTTTACATGAAAATTGTAATTATATCATCGTATAATGTTAGAATCGTAAGATTGTAGGATCGAAGCTTTTTGCAGGATTTTGTGCGATTTTTTTAAAGGAGGTTGTAAAGACTTCCGTGTTCGAAGTTTCAACGATCTGTCAATGTCGAAATTTTCATTCTATATTTTATATTTTCATACTCACGATGGAAACCTATTAGAAAAATTTGGTATTTTTGTTTTGTAACTGTCGAAACTTTTACTGTACATTTTATATTTTCATCACTAACGATGGTAAAAGTTATTAGAAAAATTTCATATTCTTATTTTGTAAATGTCGAAACTTTTACTGTACATTTTATATTTTCATACTCACGATGGAAAACTACTAGAAAAATTTGGTATTATAATTTTGCAAATGTCGAAATTTTTATTCTACATTATATATTTTCATCACTAACGATGGTAAAAGTTATTAGAAAAATTTCATATTCTTATTTTGTAAATGTCGAAACTTTTATTCTACATTTTATATGTTCATACTCACGATGGAAAACTATTAGAAAAATTTTATATTCTTATTTTGGAAATGTCAACTTTTATTCTACATTTTATATTTCCATCGCTAACGATGGAAAACTATTAGAAAAATTTTATATTCTTATTTTGGAAATGTCAAAACTTTTATTCTACATTTTACATTTTCATCACTAACGATGGTAAAAGTTATTAGAAAAATTTTATATTCTTATTTTGTAAAAAAAAAGAAATTATTACGTAAGTGTTGTTACTTATTTTGTTACTAATTTTGTAAGTGTAGAAATTTTTATTCTACACTTTACATATATATATATAGTGTAGAATAAAAATAAATATATACATATATACATATATATATATATATTTATATATTTATTTATTTATTTATATATTTATTTATATATATATATATTTATATTTATATTTATTTTTATTCTACACTAACTTTTACACTCTCATCTTGCCAAAATGAAATAAAAGCTACAGACACGCGAAATTACTAAATCACAGCTCATCAAAGTGAAACAAACGTGTGAAAACTCTGAATCGCTCGTTTCCAGGGGATGCTACTCGTACAATCCGGACTACGAGCAACGCCCGGAGGGCCACGCGGCGAGGTCCACGGTTGTCGAGATCCCCTGTCCCCAAGCGGACAGATTTCGAAAAAGAGCACTGAAGAAACGGAGGGAAAGGCGGAAGAGGGCGAAAGCAGCAAGAGAAAGAAGAGCAAGAGAGAAAAGGGAAAAATCGAGGAGACGCGCGAGAGCGCGTCGCGCACGAAGACGAAGTCGTAGATCCCGTGGCAGAGGAAGACAAAGGAGGAGGAGGAGGAGGAGGAGCAGGTCCACGAGGAGTCGTCAACGACGAGGAAGAAGGAGGGAGCAGCTTCCGGGGGAAATCGACGCGCTCGGGATGACGACCAACGTTACCGACCTGGCCAAACAACAACCGATCCCGACGAAAAGCTGCAGCAGTAGCCACTTATCCAACGATCATTCAACCATCTCTGCCAGTTCCGTAGAGAAGCAAGACTAACGGATGTTCGTGCTTGCGTTCACGCTTTTACATCGCCGATATCGACTGGCAAAGATTGGAACAAGGCTGAAGAGACTGAAGCAAGAGCGATAGATGCATAGAGCATTTACAGATCAGGATCAATTCGAACGCATTTCCCTGTTCAAACACCGGTTACTGCACAAATATTTCTCTTGCTTTATGGGTCGATAAATACGTACGAGCGGTGAGGATCGTACGGGCGAAAGTATATCGTCGTGATATCCTTCATACCTTGTGAAATTTTTCTTCCACTCTGCGTGGCAGATTCGTTACGAGTCGATCGTCCTGAACACGTTTTAAGATTTATAAGCAGCTCGCGACGTGATTTCAGAATTCAGTGGTTCAGCTGGTCGACGACGGCGATCTGTCGAGTCGCGTGTTTTCTAAATTTATACAGGCGAGTCTACTGCGACGTTTGCAGGTGAGTTTGTGTCCCGGTGAGTGACGACACGCGTTTGCATTCCCCTTTTTCTCATCGCCGTTTTACTCTGACGTTTGCAGCTCTCTTGAAACAACTTCCATATAACCGGCCGGCTGCCTGTGGCCTTTGCTAAACACTGCTGGGATCTCTCTCCTTTCTTCGCAGTTCCTCCTCGGAATTCATTAAGGAAAAAAAAAAAAAAAAAGGAGCAGTTCGTTTAAGCAAGAAACGAAGAATCGAAGGAAATTCCAAGAAGATCGACCGATGCACATACATTTTTTTTCTTTTTTATAAAATGTTTCGTCTCGTTTTCACTCTGCAATCCGTCGTTTCCAACTTCTTGCACTTGTATCTCTGCTTTTGCTGCTACAGAATCGTCCTCTTTCTAAGGATCTACTTTCTTCGCGACTTGTGACTCAATAAACTCGTCTTTGGAGAATTAATTTTGAAAATTGACAGGGGGAGGGGGACTTGCCAGCATCGATTAATAGTGCTTATTAATATTAATATCACCGGCCAAGTGATAATTTCACAATTTACGTCAACTGACAGGCGACAGAGTCGGGAAATAACGTAACAACGTAATTCCCCTCGCGATAACGCGAGAGAATTTAAATTATTATTAAATTATTAATAATTATTATTAAATTATTGAATTAATAATTACTAATAATTATTATTAAATTGTGGAACTAATAATTAATAATTATTATTAAATTGTTAAATTAATAATTACTAATGATTATTATTCAACTGACGAATTAACAATTACTAATAATTATTATTAAATTGTTAAATTGATAATTGTAAATAATTATTATTAAATTATCAAATTAATAATTATTAATAATTATTATTAAATTGTCGAATTAATAATTACTAATAATTATTATTAAATTATCGAATTGATAATTAATAATAATTATTATTAAATTGCCAAATTAATAATTACTGATAATTATTATTAAATTGTTAAGTTAATAATTACCAATAATTATTATTAAATTATTAAATTGATAATTGTTAATAATTATTATTAAATTATCGAATTGATAATTAATAACAATTATTATTAAGTTGCCAAATTAATAATTACTGATAATTATTAATAATTATTATTAAATTGTCGAATTAATAATTACTAACAATTATTATTAAATTATCGAATTGATAATTAATAATAATTATTGTCAAATTGCCAAATTAATAACTTACTGATAATTATTATTAAATTGTTAAGTTAATAATTACTAATAATTATTATTAAATTATTAAATTGATAATTGTAAATAATTATTATTAAATTATCAAATTAATAATTATTAATAATTATTATTAAGTTGTCGAATTAATAATTACTAATAATTATTATTAAATTATCGAATTGATAGTTAATAATAATTACTATTAAACTGCCAAGTTAATAATTACTGATAATTATTATTAAATTGTTAAGTTAATAATTACTAATAACTATCATAAAAATTATATAAATTAATGATTATTAACCCCCTTGCGCTGGCAGCTGGTGGTTGCGCGGACCGTAACGAGCGACCAAAACCATTATATACAATAATAAATATACTTAAAAAAAAAAAAAAAATCGAGAGAAAAATATTGCAACCTTGCAACGAAAGATTCTCGAACGTCATTCCAGCGCAAGAGGTAAATAATTATCATTAAATTATTAAATTAACGATTATTAAATTCGTCTAACGTAACGTTTCGCTGGTGACTCGTCTTGGGGCACGACGACTTCCCAAAATTTCGATACCGCGATGGAGGGGGCGAGGGAGAGAACACACGGTAAACAACTGTATTAAAAGCGGTGGCCGTCTCTCCGTGCAACGACGGCCCTGCTCGCGGCCTTGCTGGCTAATGATAGTCTTGCTAATGATGCGTTCGCACACGCACACGTGTGCCCGTAACGCGTGACTATTTCGCCTAGCGAAACACACTGTGGGTCTATGCTAGGCATCGTCGTCCAAGCCAGAAACATTTTGACAATAAACACGCACGATCATCTAGGGAAGAGACTATTAATGCACTGTGCCGGTGGCGGAAACAACCAACCGACAAAACCGAATCCTTATTTAAGGTCGGAGGTTTGTTCAAGAACTACTTAGAACGTAAGAGATTACCAACGATGTCGTTCCGAGGGTTCTTTCTTTCCGAACTTGTCGACGACTGGAGCGTGAAACGATTGTTTCAGAAACGATCGAAATATTAAATAATGAATTAAAGTAAAATGGCAAAACTTTACGATGTAATTAAAGTATAAATTAAAGTGAAGTAATAAATAATAAATAGTAGTAAAGTATAATACTAGTAAAATAATGAATAATAAATAATAAAAATAATAGTAAAATAATGAATAATAAATAATAAAAATAATAGTAAAGTAATAAATAATAAATAATAAAAATAATAGTAAAATAATAAATAATAAATAGTAATAAATAATAGTAAAAAGTAATAGTAAAATAATAAATAATAAATAATAAATAATAGTAAAATCATAAATAATAAATAATAAATAATAGTAAAATAATAAATAATAAATAATAAATAATAGTAAAATAATAAATAATAATAGAAAAATAATAAATAAAGTAATTTATTATTAAAGTAAAATAATAAAAGCTTTATGATGCAATGAATTGCACAAACTTTCAATAACACACTTTCCAAAAATCGTATTTAAATCTAATGGGCAGATCTTCTGTTTAAACTTTTATTAAATCTAGTCCAACAAAAAAAAAATGATTCACAGGAATCATTTTTATTCGAGGAATAAAATTTACTCTAATAAAACGTTGAGATCTTGTCTCAAGTGTTTAATCAGATCCAAAAAAAAAAAAAAAGAAAGAAAAGAAAAGAAATTTCAACTACATAGAATATCTGTCGTCTGAAAAGTCTTCAAAATTTTCACAAAAGGATTCGTTTGTTCGTTTACGGATCGATCGAGCGTGAATTTTATTATCACCGTAGGGCCCCGCGAAGCGTGAATAAACGCGTGGTAATCGCGTCGACCGATAACGGTATCGCGAATTAAAACCATCAGTCGCCTAATTGCTCGGGAAGGTAATAGAGATAAAGCTTGGCTCGTTAAGAAACGCACAGCGCAAGTAGCGCGACCATTCCGAGACGAAATTGTGATTTACGATCGTGTGAGAGCGTTTGAACAAATCGCAAGAGAAGACGACCGATGCTGTTCGTTCTAACAACGAGTCGATTCTCGATGAAAATTTTATTTAACACTAAAACTGACGACAACTGAAGCACAGAATTTCCCATGAAAAACGAAAGACAGAAACGAAATATAAAGTAAAGTAAAGGAAAGAAAAAAAAGAGATGGAGAAACTTTATAATACATATAATATGCAGTTTTAGCAAGTACTTTTCATACATTTCGCGAAAAATCATTTGAATCTTTGAAGAACGCATTGCTCTACGTCTAATCTGAAAATTATAATTAATGAACTGGTTATTTGAATCATTTTGATGCGATTGAAGCATCAAAATTTCCATTAGAGACATTACAAGGTAAAGAAACAAAAGCTAGAAGAATTTTAATAATAACTACACAGTACTTTGTAATACTTTTCTACACATTCTACGAGAAATTATTTGAAGCATTAAAAAAAAATGCATTACGAACGTTCTACATGCATCTGAAATTATGAATTGGTCATTTTGGCCATTTTGGTAGTACTCAGTGTCAACCGATTTGCATCACTAGAAATTTAGCTGATTCTATACTTGACAAGGGAAAGAATAATTGGACAGGAGGTTACTCTACGTACGAAAATGAATAAATTAATATAATAATATAATATACTATAATATTACACTGTATTATAATATTATAGTATAAGCATATAGTATAATTATAATGCATTATAGTATAAGTATATACTACAATATGATAATATTAGTTCAGTATAATAATATAGTTGAGTATAATATACTATATTATTAGAATAGTTCAGTATATTATACTACATCATCAGAATATTATAGTATATTACAATATTTTATTATAGTATTATAATGACGTACGAAAATGAGTAAATTAATATAATAGTATAATATACTATTATACTATATTATTATATTATAGTATAATATACATATAATATATATTAGTTATTATTATTATAATAGTATAATAATAATAATATATAGTATAATATACTGTATTATTATAATATTATAGTATGTTACATACTATAATATTATAATATTATAATGACGTACGAAAATGAGTAAATTAATATAATAGTATGTTACATACTATAATATTATAATATTATAATGACGTACGTATATAGTATGTTACAGACTATAATATTATAATATTATAATGACGTACGAAAATTAGTATAATTAATATAATATACTAATATAATAGTATAATACTATATTATTATATAATAGTATAATACACTATTATACTATATTATTATATTATAGTATGATATAATAAAATAATAATATATAGTATATAATATATATTAATTATTATTATTATTATTATTATATATTAATATTAAAGTACATTATAGTATAATATACTATATTATTATATTATTATACTATTATTATTATTATAGTATAATAATAGTAATATATAGTATAAGTATATACTATAGTATAGTATACTGTATTATTATAATATTACAGTATATTACACTATTATATTATAATATTATAATGACGTACGAAAATGAGTAAATTAATATAATAGTATAATATATTATACTATATTATTATGTAATAGTATAATATAATATAATAATAATATATAATATATAATATATATTAATATTATAGTATATTATAGTATAATATACTATATTATTATAGTATTATAATAGTATAATATACTATATTATTATAATATTATAGTATATTACAATATTATATTATATATAGTATAATATTATATTATAATATACGTCGCATCATAGAGCACCAATGTACACGTTCGCTATAATTATCAGCAAATTACAAAAAGAGAAAGCTGTTGGCTACATTTTAAGTAGAATGTCCCCACAGAAGAGGACAGTCAATTGCAAAGGATGAAATTCGATGTTCTCGGTGGTAAAGGCTATTCAGTGAAAAGAATTTCATACCTTCCTTTCACGTAGTGTCAGCTCCCAGAGTTTCTGCCACCGAATTACCAGGACACCCTGTGTGTGTAAATCAAACTGAAGCTCAAG